TCTGCCTAGGAATATACCCACAGCTGCCTAGGTTCAGGTGAATTCACGAGCCATCGTCGCAGTAGGGACACTCGAACGACTTGGACTTTCCGAGAGATGGCCGTCCACGTCGAAGAGAGAAATGTAACGCCGTGCTCGGGCCATCTCTCGGCCCCATCAAATCACGATTGTTGCAATATTCGTGATGGCTCCGGGCGAACAGACGAATATCGAGCAACTTATCGACCCCGTGACAGGGAGCGAAAATACCCGACGGTCCTAGGACGGGGCCGCAAAAGCAAAAGCCAAAATTTGCATGGAGCCATATGTTAATTTTGGTGTTTCACCAAGCCTCGACATTGTCCGACTGCATGGTTTCCGTTACGTCTGTGCTGAGGGTCGACTGTCTTGCTTTCGCTGTTGCGGATTGTTTATCCAGGTCCCGAAATAATCCGAAGTCGCCACAGACAGGAACGTGGAGTTCAATGCCGCTGTTGATTTCGATCGTTAATGAAATCCTCCTCCATATTGCCCCGAATGTGTTTACAGCACAGAGAGAGAGCGTGTGAGAATCTGTGTGCCTTTGCTTGGGTTCTTCCTAGATGTGTTTGTTCTTTGTAGCTCCATACTTATCGTGAGGAAGTAGTCGCGCGCCATCAGATGCTATCGAGGATAGCTAACAAAGCAGCTCGAAAAGTTTGTTCTCACTTCTGTCGGCCTCCTAGCAATCGATCTCATGCCTATCATATCGGAAAAAAATCTCGAACAGCCCGTCTAAGCAACGTCAACTCTAGCCTCGACTCGCACGACACTCAATATGTCGTTCGGTTCGGCGGCTTGTTCGCTATGAGCCCCTTGTCCTTGAAATGGTCCTCGACTACATCTGAGGAGTGGACCGACATGTCTGAACGCCGAATCACTTTCCTATTCTCCAGTCCGGTTCGGATTGTGATTTTGTTGTATATAAATAGACCCGATAAAACTATCTCATTTTGGGGCTGCACTCGTTTTTATCTCACGAAGCCCTGGAGAGGCGAATCACCAACCCCCCCCCTCCCCCCTTCTCCATGTTAAATGCTCGTGAACAACTATGATTAACAATGGAAGGACTATAATCGTAGTGATCCTTTCTCCGGGAGAAATCCTTCCGAACCGATCCTTCCTTCCGGGACTCGATCTGAGGGGAACGATCCTTCAAGATTTGACACGAGGCTGCAGGAGAGCGATAGGTGTCTTCACCGTAGGATTCGCGCGGACAAGAGAGCCAAGACGCTTGTCGGTGAAGTCGCGTGTACTGGAAACGTGAACCATTCTCCAGCTCAAGGGCTTTCCGTTTCGTGTTAGCGAGACGTGGCAGGAGTCAGCCAAGCAGTCGAGAGTCATCAAGGTAAAGCTCTTCTCAATTAGTCGACGTCGCGCCGTACGCGAAGGCGACAGCCGTCCGGTCCCGCACCATCTCTGACCCCATTCATTCATGTACGTTCCTCGACCCAGAGAAAAACCCGCCATGCTCTTGCTGTCCCTTACCCTCTCTTACCCCTCTACTCCCTCGGCATCACATGGAACGGATGGAATCCGCTCCAAGGGTACCGGGAATGACTAGCGATCAGAAAGAAAATCTCAGCAGCTGGTGCGGTCGCCCTAGCGGGCGGCGGACTAGTGAGCCTCGGGGTCGTTCTGGCACAAGTATGGTAAGCATTCACCCACGCAATCAAAGCGAACGAAGTACGGCCAACATTGTGAGCAGAAACAGTCCTTCGGAATCGGAGGACCGCTACCACGACTTGTTGCCCCTAACCCGACAGCCTAGGGACAACTGTATATCATTATATTATTACCAGCCGAGAGGGCGCTTCGCGCCCTCCCGGCTTCCACATCTTGCATGCCGGGTGCGATGCTTTTGAAGCTTGAGCTGTTCAGACGGAACTCGATGCGAATGCCGATATTTACCAACGAAGGATGTCAGCATGGGTTTGTGGTATAATCCATTCGTGAACATTGTTAATAATGAGTTCAAACTCTGGCTTTTGATCAAGAAGATATTGGGTACACGATGTTTTTGACTAAAGTCTTAGGAGCTTTTGAGCTTTTTTGTATGAGTAAGTTTCTGCTGTTGTGGCACTTCTTTTCGGCAGGTCTCCTGAATAGCACCTTGGTGTTGGCGTTTCCTTTACGTTGCAGCTTCTCGGGAATGATGGTGAGGCCCGCAATCATAGCGTGCTTCTTTTGAATATCTATGAGCTGATTGCAACTCAATGAATTTTCCGCCTCACTCCAGAGATGGACCATGATCCTCGAGATTTTCGGGGGGCCTTCCGAAGCTCGCCGCCGAATTTTCGCAGGCGCTTGCGCCTCTCGCCTCGCCTCTCGTGGATATCTATAGGCGAATTTCTCCTAGTTCATCGCAATCGAACAACGGAATATTGAGGATGAAGAACAGAAGAAGAATGAAACGACGCTGATAAATTGGCGAATTCCTCCTCATCGAAATCAAACTGCGGAATATTGAGAATGAAGAACAGAAGAATAATGAAACACACTCCACCTGCGCGATGAAGCACTTCGTTGCAGACTTATGAGGGAAAGTGGGGTTGAATTTAGGTTTCAAACTGAAAGCCGTTGCAGGCTCATGAGTGAAACTGTCGCTATAAAGCTTGTGAAGAGAGAGGCTGGTCCCTAAGCCCGGGAAGGTCCGAGAGAATCGATAGTAGGAATCAAGATTCATTGATTGATGTCTCATAAGCGCTCAGATCTCATGCTTGATTTTATTGATTGCTCAATGGTTGATGGATTGATTGATTTCTTGAGCGAAACTCGAAACAGAGTGCCTCGCACGTGACAGTCAAGGCAGTGAGATTGACGGGAGGCAGTCAATGAGCCAATGCGCAATCGACGCTCTCTTGCGGGACGCTTCTTAGCTTGAGTCGAGGCCAAGTAGAGCATGTTCGGAAAGCTTTTATCGTCCTTTCTCGAGTGAAACCGTGAAAGACGACGGCCTTTCACGACTACGGGCAGGGTAAATACCCAGTCGGGAAGTTATGTCCGGTATCGGGAAACATTTTTGTCCCCCCGATGTCGCACTTTATAATAGGAATGATATATCACTAGCGCTCCCGGTCGCCGCTTCGCGGCGACTCGGTATCGCTAGACTCACTACACATGCGCTAGCTCCGAATGCGCTGGCTCCGAGTGCGCTAACGCCGAGTGCGCTGGCTCCGGGTGCGCTTGCTTTGGTCGCGCGTGCTCTTGGTGAGCGTCCCGGTTCCCCG